TGTCTTTCAGTTTTTCAAGTGGACCAGATCGGGTGGCCAATGTAAGTCTATGAGAAGCCGTGTGATCAGAGATACGTTTCACTGGACTGGATCGTGCCGGAAAGTAATCTGACTGACATGCCTGTTTACATCCAATTCCCCATAGACATGGGATACGGTATTTGCAGTTTTCTTCCTCCATTGCACAGCGGTGACAGCCACTCCATACTGCTGTGATTAGGAGAGGATCCATACACACATCCTCCCCTGATCAGCCCGTGTGAAAGGGGCCTAACACCTGCCAGCCAGGATTGCGAGAGAGGGCAGATAAATGGTTACTACAGAGTTGCTCCCTCATTGGCAAGGGCAATTCAGCTGTGCATCCGCCAATGAGGGAGAGATGAGGTGATCTCTCTAGCAATCCAGCTGCTGGTGAGTTATCTCTGGTGACCAGATCACAAATGTGACAAAGGCCTAAAGCTGGATACGCACAGCAAATTTTGGCAGTTCAGCAGGAATCTGCCAAAATTTTATCCACGGGTGGCCATATCCCCTGGGTGACTTTTGTCGAAGGAACATGTTGGAAAATAGTCAGCTGCAAGCACTGTTTGGGTATTCTGACAGCAGCCAGCACTGCTGTCAGAATACAGTGTACACAGTGGGAGATTCATTCATGCACACTGCTAGCATGGATGAAGGAATCTGTCAGTTGTTTCGTTCAGTCTATGACCCTGTGTACCAAGCTTAAAAGGAGATCTATGAGGTGAATGATTTCCACTCATCCTCATATTTAGAGCCGACCTGTGACACAGAAGCTGTCACAGGTCAGCTCTATAGATCGGGAAGTAAGCAGAAACATGCCGCCGATCTGCTCACTTCCCAATCATCTCCCTGCAGTGAGAGGTGACTGAGTCACAGCTCCCTGCAGGGATTCCCCCATCCCCTCTCCGATCCTCCAGCACTGAGTGGAGGAACAAATGGGGAGGGCACAGCTGGCTATGTCTCTATATAGACGAAGCTAGCTGTCATTCACGCAGCTGGGCGGATATAGACAGTATTGTCAGGATCTGTCCCGGCTGTGGAGCTTCCAGTATAGCCCGCGATATACTGAGCTATGGGTCAAGGGAGGAGGTTAGTATATGTCCTCCCTTGACCCTAAAGAGAACTTTGGGGAAAAACACTCACCCCATACTTCTCTTAAAGGAGAACTATGGGGTCAAGGCTTTTCCCCATAGTTCTCCTTAGGGTAACGGGAGGACACAAACTAGCGTCCTCCCGTTACCCTAAGCTCAGTATACCGCGAGCTACAGCTCACGGTATACTGAGACGCCGCAGCCGGAGCGGATCCCCGACATCGATATCCGCCCAGCTGCGTGAGTGACAGCTGGCTCTGCCTATCTAGAGGCAGAGCCAGCTGTACCCGCCCCCTCCGTTCTGCCAGTCAGCGATGGCGGATCGGAGGGGGAAATCCAGCCCCTCCCGTCACGGCAGAGAGCCGTGACAGGATCGAGAGGTGAGCGAACGCCGGTATGTGTTCGCTCACCTCCCGATCTACTGAGCCGACTGTGACAGTTTCATTGTCACAGGTCGGCTAGAACTATGAGGTGAGTGAAAAGCACTCACCTCATAGTTCTCCTTTAAGTCAGAAAGCACTGCGATATTTATGAGAATAAAAGTACACTGAAATTATTTCAGGTGGTGATGTTCTAAATCAGATAGCAGAGCTGCTAAATCAGCCTGAACCCAGGTGACAATTATGCTGGTGAGCTCAACCATGGTATTGAAGGTATTTCCAACACTTGCAAAAAAGTGGAAAAGCCCTTCAATCAACAGTTTCCTGATCGCAATAGAGACAGATGGAAAGGCAGAAGTCCTTATTACAGGTACACTTTATCAGCTGTTAGCTAGCAATTTGCAGTCTACCTGTAGTATGAAGTTTAGCTGGCATGCTAGTATTTCACTGCACTTCTGAGACAAACACTGGCTAAGGTTAAAGGTCATCAATGGCCAAAATATCTCCCTCCACCCCCCAGCCCCCTTTTGGACAGATCATACGTACGAGGATTAAAACCCCTATCGGGTTATATTTTGCTATTTGTGTCCCCCGGGAGAAAATTCCCCCTCACTTCCTGCCCTGAAGATGTAACAGGAAATAAAAGCATCTCCCCAAAGTGAGGGGAATTCCCATCACAGGCAGTTGTCAAACATTTGTCTCCATTGAAGGATTCTCCTTTATCCCTTGTTCTAATAACTCTGGATATGTATTCGCTCTCTGTCTCTGACAATGTTTACCAGGATAAAGAAGGTACGTAAAGCTCTCAGCAGAGACAGAGACAGACAGCAATCAAAATACATGACGTCGGGTCCAACCCTTGACTCCATCCAAAACTGAAAGCAATGTTGCCTTTATTTACAAATTTAAAGCCTACCTGTGTGGTTGTAAATAAACCTACCAATTAACAGCAAAACGGCTCAAACATTTTTATAGAGGAGCTCCAGCCAGATCCAAGACAAACTAAGGCAGCTCTGTTTTCACCAATATATGTAAGTAGTGCAAGTGCCTGATTCTGACTTGGGATCAGACTTTTGCAGTATATGTGCAGCAGCTCTTAGGCTAGGAGAGGGAGAAGCAGCACAAGAATACGATCCTTATGCTGCAGTGCCACAAGGAGAGAGCAGAGTGATAAGAGAGATGAGCTCATCAGTCTGTTGCTTCTCTTTCACTCTACAGTAACATACATGTAACATACACGCTTTCGCAAAGCTAAATGGTACAGGAATACATTAAAGCCCAAATCCGCGCACAATGCACTGACTAAGTTGTAGGGTCCCTTTACTGTAAAACCTACCCGCCATAATTAGATCTAGCTCCTCCACTCAACAAATCTTCAGTATACATGCGGGTGAAGGTACAGCTCCCGTTGAACTTCCGTACCCACTGCAGGTCTCAAAGACCTCAATGACTGATGCGGTCACATCTCTACCACCCCCTCCAATCACAAAGCAAACAGTTTGTAATTCGAAAGGCGGAGAGGAGGATGGAGATGTGACCACAGGACTTTAGTCTTTGAGACCTGCAGCACTACACTTGGAGGAGGTACATAAGTTCCTGCTGGAACTTCACCTGTGGGTATACTGAAGATTTGCAGGGAGGAGGATCTAATTATGGCCAGTAATTTTACAGCCAAGGGCCTCTACAACTTACCAAGCTGCAGTATGTTTCTTGTGCGCTACAGACAAGGATTAGAACAAGTGAACACAGAGACCCACACTGCATTCTGCTGAGTGATGACACAGTGGAATCTCATGGGACAACCGCTCTCAGCCCTAGTCTGTCTCCCTTCAAAGACACAACAGTGAGTGCAGCATTTTGTTTGTGTTGCACACACTGAGGTGCGGAGACCTGAAATGCAGCAGATCAAGGTCTCCTGCCCTGCCAGACATGGCTGAGTGGTATAGCATGGCTGTATAAAGCTGGTATTACATTATGCGAATTTCGGTCAGTTCTTGGTGAACCGGCCGAAAGGGGCACACCGGTTGCCGCTGTTTGCACCCTTTCAGCCGCCATCCCTCGATCAGCTGATCGAAGGAGCCAGTTGGAAAGTCTTTGATGAACAGAGCCAGCAGCCAATTCTGACCGTGTCCGGTGGCTGCCATCACAATTCCATAAAGACAGCGGGAGATTCCTTAATCAATGCTCATAAGCATTGATGGAGGAATCTGTTCTATTCTCTTCACTCTGCCCACGGGTTGAATGAAGAAAATATTACAGTGTATGGGCAACTTAAATCTCAGGACTGCATGGACAGAAATACAAATCCTTTGGATAGGTAAACCAGCTCCTAGCATGTATTTCATCAGCCTGGAGTTCAGCTGCAAATATCTTATAGGGTCATTCACAAAAGGGTGAAGAGTTTGGAGAAGACAGGACAAGTGAACAATCTAGGACAACATAGCTGAACTGGAAAGTGAGCTGAATGGGACACTATTTCCAAATCAGCTATTTTGGCCTAGATTGGAGAAGTGAACAAACCCTTCACCCTTTTGTGAATAACCCTGTCAGTTTTAAAGTTCCTAGTCAGTTTTAAAGTTCCTAGAGCAGTCTGGCCAGGAGGAAGGGGTCATTGAGGCAATCTACATGAGCGCTGCCTTGACAAAACTAAAAGACTGTGGCAACTAAGCCAGACATCCTGCTCAAGGAGCGCAGCCGCAATCAGTCGCCAGTACCAGAACCTGCTGCACAGTATACGTTTAGGGGGCCTAATACACAGTAAAGGAGATGAAAAGCTTGTCCTTTGGCGTGAGCGATTTGTCCTGACCGGAGGTCATGGTTAATGATAAAATATAAACACATTCTGTACAGGTCTATTAGATTTTTATTTTGCTTGAAGAGAAGGATCCAGTGTGACGGTGTAGGGGAACCTGGGTGTCCATGTGATAACCCGCAACATCCTACAGGTCGCCTAGGACTGACAGCCTCCACCTGGTCTCGTCTAATCTCAGGCTCTTATGACAGATGGCCTTCTGGACGGAGAAGCTGCCTAGGACCAGCCACTACTAGGTCACACAGCCTGGGCTCTTCCTGTCAACGGTTGGTGAATCATCAGAGGACACCGAGTGAACTCTTCCCCCTCCACCATGCTGTTGAAGGAGCCAGGCACAGCGTGTGCTCCAGGGGACATGGCCGGGCCTGCTCGCTCTTCTTACAGAGCCGTCCACGTTCCACAGACACAGCAGAGCGGCCCAGGCTGCCGTGTCCTCACAGTGACACCGAACCGGCAACAAGTGTCCAGGCCAGCAGCCCCCTGACAGGCTCCATGACCCGTACACTTTCTCAGCCCCGGCACTGTAATGTCCTCTAGGTTCTGACGGCCTGGCCGGTGTCTGCCGGCTTCTAAGGGTCATATGTCGAGCTCAGCACCTTAGTAACAGCCGCCTTATACACCGCAGCCTTAACGGCTTTACTCAGTCACCATTCCCCGGCCAACCCTCCCCTTCCCCCCCATGGCCCCGGCACTCACATTGCTGTGCGGATCGATGGCCTGCAGCAGCCTCTCCCTGATTTCCCGCGGGGATACCGGAGCCGCTGTCATTGCCTCTGTCCGGGGATCACTGCGGAGGGCGGCGCGGCATGTTCCCGGGTAGGGAGGGACACAGTGGCCAGGGCACCGGGAGCGCTCGACACCGGAGACTCCCAGGCGCGTCTCTCCAGCTGGAGCCGAGCGACCGGGAGCCCCGAGGCAGGACGGGAAATCCGCCGCCGCACGCTTTGTGACGCCACAGGGGCGACGTCCTTACGTCACTATTCCTCTGGGCAGCACGCACGTCACGTTGTACGTGCGCACGCACTATTCCCCCTCCCCCCGCGCTACTCACAGGAAGTGTCAGTAGCAGCGTGGAGCTGTCAGCTGTGTCATGCTTGAGGAGGGTGCTGCTTTTTTTTTTTTTTTTTAAGGCTGCCTGTCCGTGGCACTCATCAAGTTCTCAGTTTAGATAGTGCTGGGAAATTGAATTTCAAACTTGCAGTTATTTATGATTACCAAATAAAGGTGTACCCGTAATATGAATAATTGAAATGGAGAAAACTAGTTCTTACATCTTTGCAATACAGGCATACCACCTATGTTAAGTCTTTTCAGAAATGCTGCAAGCACAGAAAAATATCTGATGAGCTGCCAACAAACCTGCAACATCCTACCTTATTGTAAAGGACTGATCAAGCTGCTGCACTTAAATCTCAATCATTGTTGTCAGCCATGCTTGTCTTCTCCTCTGCAAGACTACTAAAAAGGAAAACTGGGCAGGGTTGACAACACTGCTTGGGATTTACATGGACGAAAGGCAGCATTGTCAACTCACAACCGGAAGTTAGAAGCACAGTGGATTTCTGCCAGGACCAAGATATTTTCTGTAGTTATTGCAAGACAGATCTTTACTGCTGTCTCTGTCCCTAATAGACAGATTTGTACCTAGTGACACAATAGGAAGGGAGAGGAAATCTCCCCAAAGTGGTACAAAATTCCACTTTAAACATTTGTCACCAGAAGAGGTATCCCAATTGTGGGATTTTCCCTTCTACTACTGGTGAAAGCTTAAAAGATGTTCACTTCCTGTTACCTGCTCAGAAAATAAGAGTACCAAAGGTCCTAGAATTCATTTCTCCCATGGAAAAGTGTATGGAGTTTGCGCAAAACAAAATAGTATGCCAATTATCATCCCTGCAATTAGTAGTAGTGTCTGATCGACAAATTTTTTACACACACACACTATAAATACAATTTGTGTATGTTGCCAAAGTTAAACAATCCACTAGGTATTCATGGTGTAACATAACACATGTTCACATCACAGTTTGCTATGTACTGGTGCAAAAAAGGCTATGCAAAATAAATACATAAATGCCAAATTTTAATCTTATGAAGATGTGTGCATTTTTTTTAAAGTGAACTTTAGCTGATATATGTATACTTGAGGCCCTTGCAGATATCTGAGAACCAGAACAGTAGAAATCTAAAAATAAAAAGTGCTGTTCCCTTCAGCATGTCATAAATATGGTTAAAGCAACAATAAAAATATATATGACATAACTAGGAAGCACTAGGATATGAACCAAGAACCATGCACAAGGAGAGAAGCTAAGAGAGCCATTAGAAGTAGGACAAAACAATAAATCCTTTTTGGGCACTGGGATTTGTACCACCATATACAAAACATGACTAATGCCACTGAATAACTTTTTAATAGTGATGTCTCTAAACGCCAGCTTGTGCAGTAGAAATGTGTGCATGTGGGCCTAATGCTCGACTCCAGGCAGACATTAAGGCCTCATTCACACAGCTAAGTGACGGCCCGTACAGATCCGTGCGGCGTGCACGGCCGTATCACGCCATTCCCGGGAAGCATGTGATTGTACGCAGCAGTCGGTTGTTCTCTACGGGAGTAAGCCGCTGTACGCTCACCCGAGCTGCACATCCGCGCGGGTGTCCGTGCTCAGGATCAATCCTATCTGCGTACGAGTACGGACACCCCCACCCACACGGGTGAGCTTATGGCCGTGTACTCCCATAGAGAAAAACAGGCTGCTGCGTACGATCACACGCAGCACCTGTCCTTCCTGGGAATGGCCCGATACGGCCGTGCACACCACACGGATCTGTACGGGCCGACACTTAGCTGTGTGAATGAGGCCTAAATGAGAATTATGGAGTGAGTGAAAAACACTCATCCCCATAATTCAAGCCGACTGACACTGAAGGGGTCACAGGTTGGCTCTATTGATCGGGGGGTCAGTGAACACATACCGCCGATCGCTGACTTTCCAATCATCTCTCTGCAGACAGTCCCCCCTCCCCTCTTCTTTCTCCAGTTCTGACTGGAGGAATGGATGGGGCGGGCAGAGCCAGCTGTCAATCAGTCAGCGGGTTGATCTCAACAGTATTGTGGGGGATCCATCCCAGCTGTGAGCATCTAGTCCACTATATGCAGAGTTTTGGGTTACCCGAGGACATTAGTATGTGTCCTCCCGTGACCTTGAAGAGAACTATGGGCAAAAAAAGGTTGCCCCATAGTTCTCGTGTAAAGAAGACCTTTACTCATATCTTTAAAATAACAACAAAGGCACCTTTAGAAATGTTTAGTAATGACAATCTACAAACACATATTTCTAGACAATTGCCGACCTTGTATTCTTTGCATAAATGTTTTCTCTTTTCTTCCCCAGTCTTCTCACAGTGACCAATTTTACTAAGGGCAGATTACTAGATCTCCATTTACTTCCTGGAACTCTGGCAGATGCGACTAGGACATGTGACCATGCACATCATCTCCGGAGAGGAAAATGCCTTTCCCGGAGATCTCATGACATTACACATGAGATTTCCCAGCAATGTTCTGCTGATGTAACCTTCCCAGGATGCAATGCTTTGGCACACTACATCATTTGTGCCAAAATGGACCAGGAAGTAGATGAGCTTTGTAAGTAAATGAAAAACAAGTTTGTTTATTGCACGTAAGATGATTTTAAATCAGCATGCAGAGCTGCATGCTATTGTGATTTTTTTAGTGAATGGGGGGTATAGGTTCACTTTAAAACAGAATTTAATACAGTTGGGTGGTCATTCAAAATAACACAATTTAAGGCCAATTCCAGCCAAAGCTCTTTTTTACTTTACAGATTTAGATGAACGCTTCTGTTAAATTTATATTGCCGTCTGTGGCTCCCTTGATGAAATCCATCCTCCCGATAGCAGGACAAGAAACGAGGCAAGCGATGGTCAGCGAGACAAAAAGTCACAGACAGCAATAACCTGGAAATGGTTCTAACCCTTCCCCATTTTACAGGAAAAATAAGTATCTGTCATGATTTCAGTATACTGTCACCCCTTGCATTACAGCACTTAAGGTGGCCATACCTCTTACAGCCATTGTACAATTTCCTTTGTCCAGACATCGCACCCTCGTTTAATTTGCGTTTAAATAACCCATCGTGCACAGACCAATGCAGATTTCATCAGCAATACTAACTGGCTGAATTTCATTGATTGACAGAACAGATTTTTGTTTGCACATGGGCAGTGTTCATCTTACTATTTTTGTTGTACGAAAACGCCACTAATCCATCGATTTTCCTTTGTTTCAAAAAGAGTTTTCTAGCCTGCCCGATAGACTCAATTCGTCCAGTTGCACAGTAATAGCGGTTGTGCACTTCCCATCAACTTGCCGCTTATCAGACAAAAATCGAACGATAATTGTAAGGTGTATGGGCACCTTTAGACTGATAGCGGGAAGAGCAGTGCTAGAAGCTAATCAGGATCTGCTATGTGCACATGGAGGAGAGAGCAGAAAGCACGCACTATTCCCCCTCCCCCCGCGCTACTCACAGGAAGTGTCAGTAGCAGCGTGGAGCTGTCAGCTGTGTCATGCTTGAGGAGGGTGGTGCTTTTTTTTTTTTTTTTTTGGGTGCATGTCC